CTGATTCATTCCACATGCAGGCTTTTACACGCTCCCTCTGGTCACTGCACTGTAAATCTTTGCTGTTCTGACATCAGCTTGGCTTTTCTCAGTAGCTGGAGGAGAAGTTGCCAAACAGAATAGGTTTTGTATATCCTAACCCCTATTCTGGATAGAATTAATGGACCAAGTATGAAAGCCAAAAGCCTCAGATTTGTTTGGGTTAACCAATGCCAGAATTTGTTGGCTAGGGAATGATACAGATGATCTTTTACAGTTGAAAGAGTATGTCAGTGTTGCAAGTGTTTGGAAGGTAACAGCATACATGTCTTAAATGCCACCAAATAACACACTGGCTTTCACAATAAGGCACTGCTGGACAGGATAGGATTGAGTATCTTATTCCAACACATGTGAAAGTTTGCAAATAATTTTGGAGTGGTTGATCAAAGCAAAAGGAACAAGCGCAGTGAAGTGTGCACGGGAGGAGTAGGAGTACAAACTCATATAAATATTCTGGCACATAAAACGCATTTCTCACATGATGTTTCTGCAGAAAGTGAGGTGGCACAGTTTTAGTCAATCATCAAGTTTGTCTGGTATGGTGGAGGTACCATAGCATAAATCAAAGCTAGAAGGGGAGAGCAAACCAGCACTTTTCACGTTATTTTTTTTTTCCTGAGAAAAACTGACAAAGAGTACCAGGAAAGTGCTTTAGACTACTCTTGACTTACTCCACAAATATTCTAGGCCAATATATGCAAACAGTCCTTAGCAGGGCTCAGCTGATCAACAGTACTTTGTTACACTGCTGTTAATGCATTGTGTGCACTTGTCTTGCACCTGCCAAATTTAGCTCATTTAGAAAACAGAGAAAGATAAAAGATTTTGTTCAGTGCCTAAGGAAAGACTACTTTCTAATCGCTAACAACCAAAAAACAATAGGGTCTGTGCATAATCTTGCACAAAATACTTGTATCAGTTTAAAATCATCCTACATGAACATGATGCTTACCAGTATTTGTTCAGAGGTAAAACATTTTATTAACAGCATGTTTGCAAGTAGGGTTCAAAACAAACTGTATGCAACAGGATGGAGTCTAACATTTGAACGAGCCAGTTAGTAATAAATGAGTTTTATTATATATAATAAAAGTATATTACATAAAGACATTGCATTATTGCAGGTTGCCTGATAGAAATGATACACACAACCTTATTGTATCAGGCAAAAGGTACCAATCTGAAAGCATTCTTATCAAATATATTTGGAGTTAAGGTAAGAGAGCTAAGTTTATCATGGGTCTAATTAGAAAAGCAAACAGATAGCAAAAAGCCTTTCCAACCTGCATTATTCTGAATCTATTACATACCGCTTTTGTAAGGCAGTATTCATACTTAATTCAAAAAGACTGCTTATTAATTTGATATTAATTCAGTATAGTGGTGAATAGCAATAATGTAACAAAATCCTTTAAGTTTTCAGTATTCATCTTCTCATCCATTGCATTTTAGACAGGCAACATACTAGGCCAGTATTTAAATTAACAAAAAATGGTAAAATGGCATTTCTTCAGTTACAGGAGTCTAAATGTGTTTAGTAGTATACAGTGTGAGGGTTTTTTTTTTCCCCTCTTCATTAATAATAAGAGCCATCATTGTTGAGGATGTCTTTATTGCATAAGCTAATGTAAATCAAGTTTCCTAACCTCTAGGTGAGTCCCTTTTGCTAGCTCCACTGGAAACATTTATTCTCAGTATCTTGCATCAGCACAGTGCGACCAAAAGCCTGCAGCGTGACCCCAGCTGACCCACCCAGCAGGCTGCCTGGCCTGTCGCAGGGTTGGCGGAGTCCTTGGGATATGTCAAAACCAGGAGTATAACGTAAAAGGACTGTCTCCCAAGTGGGAGAGGGTTCTCCAGGGCGGCACAGCCTGCGGCGAGCGAGCCTCCCCTTTGCCTACCCAGCACCGGTGGCAAGGCGCAGGAGCCCACTGGATCACCCAGTCACTGCCCTCTGCTTCTGGGTGCACCCTGGGGTGCCCAAGACTAGGTCAGAGCCCCTCTCCTGCCATACGTGTCAATACAAAGCTATGTTGAGGACTGTGTGATTGGAAAAGCATTTGGCTGAGGAGACACGCTAGTCGGTATTTTACTCTGTTTCTTTTCCAAGCCTTACTTTGGGCAGAGCAGTCCTCTATCTGACACGCACCATCGGCAGTGGTGATCTTGCCAAAACGACAATAAAATCCAAGATTATCTTTAAAGAAATAAAATGCTCAAAGATTGCAGCTGGAAGGCAAACACTTGGGATAATTTTTAATTCCAGTGAAGTATTACCTCTGCTCTCCAGAACTGGGTATGCCAGCCTTGGGAAGACGAAAGGACTTTTAGGCAGCAATTCAATACTATGAACTACCAAAGTGACCCTCCATCTCCACCCTTACTTCTTGCATTTACAACTACAGTGTGCAGGCCTGGTTATATACAACTCTCGGTGTGGGCTGACACACAGAAGAACAGAGTTCTTGCATTCAAATCAGGTATTTCATCATGTATTTTTCATATGTCTTTTCCTGTTTTGTCTGAAAGAATAAGTGACTTTGTAATGTGGTTTGAAAGAGTTAAAATTTGATTTTAACAAAAGATAGAGGAGGGAAAAACCCAGACTGTAAAGCAGAAAGCAACTCCGAGCACTTCAAAATGAACGCAAAGGTTTTACCATAACCTGTTTGGGTTTTCCCCCAATAAAGGAGCGGCTGAAGGAAAACGGCGACGCATCTTCATTTTTTTTGGATCTTTTTTATTCAAAAGTTTTCAAAGAAATAAAACAGAAAAAAGCTAACAATCTAATCAAATTTACAGTTCAAAAATGTCTTTTGGCGTTTAACAACAAGTCCTAGGAAACAAAACTACAGAGTTATCTTGAACCGGACAAATAAGTTACCACTGGCAAGTTTGTGGCACTAGTAAAACAAAAATAAAAAATTAACTCTCTTGATCATATAGATATCTCTATGAAAATCTTTTTTTTTCAATCTGTACAAAAGGTCTTTCTTCATAAATTAATTTTTTATAATTTAATGGCTGTCTACTATGTGATTTTTAAGTAACTGATTATTTCTTTATGTACAGAGGTTAAATTTCCCAAATCTTACCCAGACAATGAGTATGGCACTTAGTTCAGACATTTCTGGCAGCAGCTCTTCCCTCCCTCTAACACAGCTATCATACTGCAGTTTTAATTAACGCAAAAACATCAAGTAGTGAGAGATCCAGGTTTGGAAAGTTACCAGATACAGGCAAGGTGCTGCAGGAAGTCTGGACTTTTACAAAGCAGTAATATTCCAGGGAGCATAGAACCAATAATACCACAACTTTTTAAAAAAAGAAAAAACAAAAACACATCTCTTATGACTATGTATTTCACTAGAATCTACACTTCTCAGAGCAGCAATTTACTTTTGAAACTATGAAATGTCACCGACATCTATACTCCAATACTCACACAAAATTTAAAAACTAAAAAATACTTGAAAGAAACAACTGCTTAGCCCTAGCTCCCGAGCTAGGATGATTTGGTCTGTGGAAACAGGGAGGGCCAGCAACCTGTCCCAATACAAAAGGAAATAAACTTTGAGGTAGATAACTGATCATATACAGCTGACCAGAGAAGTACACAGTTTTGGAAGACAACTTAATTTATCATTCGATTTAAAACATATGCAATTGTAATAAAGAGCTTTAGTAGCAGTGAATTATCTAATATGTGAAGTACAAATAACTGTGTATTTATGAATCAGGAATTTCATAGTTTCAAAATTGGTTTTCTTTACACTTAACACTTGTAGTGATGATGTAAAGTGTGGCACTGCTTGGATCCAAGTCTTCCTTCATGCTTTTGTGTCCATACATCAATTAAAATTATAAAACCTAAATGCAAATGTACAAAAAAGGCACATTCTCCTAACCGCAAACTGGTCCGGCAAAAATAAAGAGTACAGAAGACGTAATGCTGAGACAAATCAGAATTATTGGTTACTGGCTCTTTGTTCTTTGGTAAAGTTACCTTTTAAAAGTGCCAAGTCTTTTTATTTTTATTTACCTACTATAGAGAGCTAGTACCCAATCAATTATGCTTCTACTTACATCTCAGCGTATGTTTGAAAACGAGTCCTTTAGCTTTTGCCATTTTGCTGTAATAGCAACTTTTCTGTTTGCTAAGTCTCAGCACAATCCTCATCCTAAAGCACTATCATTAGTATAAAGGAAGGACAAAAACATTCGGTGATATCCCCACCCCAAACTCCCTACTCTACCTATGCTAAAACTAGAACATCAAGTTAGTTTCTGAAAAAAGGCAAAAAAAGATTTTACATTGCATCATACAGCAGAGTTCCTAAATCATTCAAACTACCAGAGGGAACTATTGGCATATGGCCTTACAAACAATTCATCCTATTAAAATTTCCCCAGTCAGAAAATGTGTTTCACACAAAACATTTTTTCCCCTCTTGCGTTTCACTACCTTACATATTATGTGAAAAATCATTAAAAACACTTACTACACATTAAAAAAGCCAAATTTTCAGCAATTTTTATTGACTACCTTTAAAAGCCCTATGCTGCTGTTTTACAAGGCATAATAGACCAGCTCATTTGGTCAAAGCATTCTACACCATTAGTTTGGACTACTTACTGAAACAGCTACAGCATTGAAAGATTTAAGGCAAATTGGAATTTATAGAAAAGGATAAGACACTTCACACTACATTAAAAGAAAAACAGAAAGCTAAAAGACCAGACACTATAACTGCAACACTGCACTAAAGCAACACTCACACACTGCAAGCACAGAACATCATCTTAGATGTTTTACTATTTTAAACTTCAGAAAACCCATTTCATACAATTAAGGAAAAAAAAAAACCCCAAACAAAATAAAAATAAACCAAAACACAAATTCTGTCATGCACGTGAATAAGTCTTCGTGGTCATCTGTGCATACCCAGAAATGTGAATTTTTTTTTTTTTTGCGTCATAACACTTGATAAAAATTTTTTTTTTACTAAAATAAACCTGTTCATGGGAACAGCTACTAGATGAATTTAAGGTTTTTCTTATGCACCTTATAGAACTTATAGCAAAAATAGTTTTAGTTGATTTCATTATAAATAACATTTTCAAGAACCTGTGCAAAACTGTCAATAATTCCTAAAGCACAATTGATCAGTAAAATCCATGATTGTTTCAGCCTTTGCACCCTTCTCCAGGCCAGGTCAACACTGGACATCTGCAACACAGAAAGGTCAGAGCTAGAGCAGTTACAATCGCATGGGTTTTTTCTAATGCAGCCGTCCATAAAACTAAATCGTTTCCTATTTTAGACAGCTGTGAGAAAACTATGTTAATCTGAGTACAAATTTGCGAAGTAACACAGGGGGCACTACAGGTGCTCGGCCCTTCCCAGGCAGGATAAGGCGCTCTGCCAGGATACAGCCTGTATTGTATTTCCCCCCTCTACCTCTAATACCTGTTCCGCATGCAGAGTTCCCACTGGGGAACCGTGAGACTGCATTCAAAGCTATTTCCTTCTTTGTTGTTTTGTTATTGTTGTTTCCTTTTAATTGACCAAAAGTGGTTGAGTGTGTGAGCTTACTCCTGCAGCATCTCCAGGGCTTTTGATCTCTGGAAAAGGAACACAACTTTCTTTCGGTGCGGCCTCAGGGAGACTATGTACAAGTTACAACAGCCAACGCAGAGACAGCTACTGTGCCTCCATGACGGTTAATACTTAACAGCAATTCAGGGCTCATTAAATTTGAAGGAAGACTTCTCAATTTACTATATTGCCATATGGGTTTAAAAAAATACCCAGCTAATGAAAAGAAGTTTAGACAATTTTTTAATTTCTCTAGGCAAGAACAAGTCTGGTATTTTAAGGTTTGTACATTTATAGGTGCATATTAATTGTAACAGGGTTTTTTCCAAGGGTCTGACTATTTTCACATAGTAGCAACTTTTTTAAAAGAAGCTATAAAGTTATTAAATGTAGCCGTTAAAGGAAGGACACTGTGTATTTCTGATTGACTACATCCACTTGTGCAAATGTGCTAGTTGTCATTTACCTCTTATTTACAGCAATATGTATACTGATTTTTAATAGCACATTCCCAAAAGCGCTGCATGTGCATTTAGAAACAAGTTTCAATTTGACAATAGTAACGAAGCTGCAACAATTAAAAGACCACAGCGTTCCCTGTATTTAGGGCAAGAAATAACTGTCAATTCCCTCCCCCTCACCTGTTTGAAAAACGACAAGTACCAACATGTTCCAGGGACAGAAATACCGAATGCCATACTCTGAGGCTGAAATCAATTGAGTAATATTAACCTTCCCCACGTGCCCACTGCCAGAGCCATCGCTGACACAGATTTCACTGGCTCCTACTGCATATAAATACAGGTAATGGTACTTCTCTGAAGAATAAAGTATGTGGAGGATTGGCTTACAGCAAAAGCACAGAATTGCTCACAGAGCTCGGTATTCTACACGGTCATCATTATAAAATGTGTCTCAGATGGCAACACATCTCATCCTTTCAGGAGACTAATGCTGCTCCTTCTGCCTGGCCCCAGCCTATGGGAAAGATACTGACGGGCTGGGAGAGAGAGGCAGGACGGGGAGATGACGTGCAGGATGACGCTTCGCCGTCTACCACAGATCTCTATTGGTAAGGAGGTCTTACATGCCCACAGGGGAGACTTAAGGCAAAACAAATAATTCCTTGAAAAGCGGTTAACACCAGCCAATAGCGTTGGCAGAGGAAACATGCAGGAGCCATGATTTTAACACCAGGAGATGGATAACGAGAGGAGTCTGTGGCTTTGCTTTCTCCCTGCCCTGGATGCAAATCAAGGACGTGGGCTTTGTCTAGATGCCGACAGTTGGCCAGACTACAATAATAAACACAGGTAATATGTTGTGCTATGCAGACTGTGCCATCTGTTGAATGTGCGGTTTCCCCATTGGTTGTTTCTATCTTTACATTCTTGAACATATAAGTAGTTCTTATGCCAATAACGGGGATGAGAGCAGTGTTGTCAAATAACACAGCTGACCTGCAAAATCAAAGGTAATGGCAAAACGTGTGTTCTGTTAGATCCATACTTTTTAGGGAGAATATCACACAATTAGAAGTTCCTCACACATCACTGATTAGGATTTTTGAGTATCTAATAAATGCTGTGAGGGCTGTAGAAAAACCCTTTTAAGATGGCCTCTAGCACATTATTGCACCTGAACAGAGTTTTTCAGTATGAGGTCTTACAAAATGTGATAAAAAAATGATGTAGTCAAGTTGCCTGGTTTACAAAGCACTCAAAAAGATGAGTTAAGGAACAACTAAATTCCAGAATTTTAAAACATGGAAGATGGAGAAGGGGATGGTTAATGCAAACAGTATTTTCAGGATGGCAATCTACAGAAAGCAAAAATTTTGCAGGGAAGGAGTTCAGGGAAAGCTAATGATTGGTTAGTAAAGAAAGGCCACGCAAGCAAAACCAGTAGGAGGAGGAAAGTAAAACAACTCTGGAATCAGAGCCAAGCTAGGATGTGGCTTAGAAATTAATTGACAAAATTCTGGACCAAACTGCTTTTTCCTAGAATAAAGGATGAGCAGGGAAGTCTTCAGGAGAAAGGGTCAGCAAGGATTTCTACCAGACCACCCGCCTGCCTGTGGTCTGTAAGTTAGTTGCAAAGCTGCTTCCAAATCTTACGTGTACCACAGAACTAGAGGATATTTTATGTATAAATACAGTTCCCTTTAGCATTGTGATTCTAGTATTTTTGCACTAATTCATTGTTATTCTTGTATACAGCACGCTGCCAAGATGAACAAATTAAAATACAACATAATACAGTTATGCTATAGAGAAATTATTAAAACACTATTACTCATAAGTCATTAACTCACTTCTGCAACCCATGCTTCCTTTCCTGGCTTCTAACTCTGGCCAAGTTCAAATTAACTTCACTGCCTGTCCCCAGATATTATCAGTGTTATTTATATGATATAAAGAAAGAATTTTCAATACAGAGTACCGCAAGTTATGAAATAACATATCTTTGAATTCACATCATTTATGTTACAGGATGAGCCCCTACCTCACAGTTACTTATTTTGCTGATACGTATATGGAGAATGGTCACTGGACGTCTCTACTGTAACCTGTTGTTGACCACTGGCTTCCTGCAAATAAAACGGAAGACAAGACATGAGAGACAAGCAGGCAGCATTACCTGTAATCTGTATTTCCATGCGACTCATGTGATTAACAGTCTTCAAATCTAAAGTCTTTCTAACATTTCTCAAGTGGGGTATTCCAAATTTGAGGTGATAACTTTGCATTGATTTACATTTCAGCAAATAGAGAAATAAAAATGATCATGCAAACCTCGTCTTTCCCCAGCCGCTTTGATGATAATTAAAAAAAACTTCTGACATAAATACATAGAGGAAGCAAATAACTGCTAGTATATTTTCTATCTGCAAATGCAAAAAATCATTCTGCCCCTCTCCTTTTGAGGGGCAGCAAGAAGAACGAGATCAACTTACCACATGTATAAACACTATTGCTTTGAGTACCATGGTGTGATTGGCACTAGGCAACACAAAGAATTGTAGTTGGGACTTCGCACACAGACCCCCAGAAACCAGGGAATTAATTCAGCTGATAGTGCTCTGGCAGACAGTGCAATCAGCTAATTACCAAAAGTCTTTCTCCGACCCACATGGGCAGATGCATAAACTGAACCAAACAAGTTCTGGAGTTTCTGGACAAATGGACTCTGAAATGAAATGTTTTTTTTCTTACAGGCTCTGGAAGAGACTGTCTAGCACTCATTCTGAATACAAGAGCTGCAGCATACCTTGTCTAGCTCCTCTGTTAAAGAAGTACTGACCTATGAAAGAGTGTACAGTAAGTCAAAATAGTAGACAAACTGTTGTCTACCATTTAGTTATGCTCTTCAACTGGACTTGCAGAGGGGTTTATTAAGCGAATATGCACAATATCCTGAGATGCCAGGGTAAAATCGGAACTCTTTGCAAAAAGTTACAATCATGGTCTGTTGGCAGAGAAGTTTGCTCACAGGAAAACTAAATGAAAGATCATAACTACAATATACCCTCTGGCTTGTTCCTATTGGAAGTTAGGTTTCACAAAACACAAAGTTCGTCTGAGTTATGCTCATATGGAAGACTGCTCCAAGTACTGTACTGCTACAAGTACGGGTCATTCTTTTTTATAATGCTAGTTATATTAGTTGAGAATAATGACACTTTATAGTTTTAATATACATTGTCTTCACAGTACATTCACAGTTACAATGTTATGCTTTAAACAGTAGCTTTCCTAGCAAAAAAAAAAAAAAATCTAGTATCATATTCATGTCTCTTATCTCTGGTCTTTTATAAAATATACTGACCTCAACAGGAACCGCTGCTGTCTGGACATGTGTATATTGGGGTATGTAGGCTCCTTGCATAGCTGTTGTGGCTGGCATGTACTAGAAAGACAAAGTCCATTAAGTTGAGTTAAAGCCCGATGTAAATTTAAGAGTATTCAAAATACCTATCATGATATTGTTTAATAGATATTGACTGTTTCCCTAAAGCAATATACATAAGAGAAAGACTTTTGTGTCTGAAATCAACAGGCTTTTCAGAAAAGTGAGGTACCTGTTTTGGGAAAACTCAAATTTAGACTTCAAAGACTAGGTAAAGGACTTTTCCTTCTCTGTTAATCCCGATCATCATCTTTTTTTTTAATTCTATCTTCTCAGGAAAGAAGGGTCTTTCAGTTTAGAAGCTAGCCTGCATCTCTTCTTCTGGTTTAGTTTCTGTTCCAAACTTTGTGTTCCTTTCTGCAACTCTGATCTCCTGAAGAGCAAAACCAACTATTTTTTCTTTTTTGATACAACTCCGGAGTTACCTCCTGGGTTCCTTTCATTTGCTTTGATCTATTTTTATTTACTGATTTCCAATTTCTGATCAGCTAATAGACTGAATAAAAACTGCTGAATATGATTTAAAAATGGAGACAGTTCTTAATATTTTATTGGATGAAAAGACTACTTAAAGGGTTACTTTTTTCCTAGACGCAAGCTGCACATGCATATTGTGATCTACACGCAGTACCTTCTACTTGTGTAAGTTCTATTTTGTATTAAATTGCTACATACTGTTCCAGTACTGCCTAATGAAAGATGACTCATCTGCTGCGTCAGAGGGCTTATCATCGATGCAGGCTGTAGTGACATGGTGTGGTCCATGGAGGGAGTCAGTACAGCACCCTATTAAACGGAGAAAGAAAGAAATGGTTGCGGCAACACTCAGATTTTAATTACATTTTTGATTTGAGAGTCTAAGTATGGGCTGCCCTTCTGAGGGGACATACCACAAGAACTCTCCTTAATCCCAGGCACTGATTCAGGAAGCAGGTCGGGGGCATTCTGAATATTCTACTTGAGCAGATGTGTTTTGCACGGTTTGGTAATGGGGTAAGAACTGCATTGGCTTCCTATTGAACATGCAACTGATGTACAATGCACTTGAGACACCTGCAGAAAACACTTTGTAAAATATGAGTTTAACCAGATGCTAACTTTAAAGGAAGAATCTGCACACGTTACCAGGTATAGATTCACTTAGCTTAAACTTTGGAATTTCAGGCTTTAGGAAGAAACTTTTATCTCATCTTTAGGAACGGAGGCTTTGGAGGAACATTTGTGTTAGGAGAATTCTACCTGTCACATGAGATGTTCACACACAAGACAGCTGTCCTACTTAATGGCTGGTTTCATTAGCACACACATCTTAGAAGAGTGGGTTAGCAATGCTGATTCTTTGTCTAAATACTAGCTACTGTGATGACCTTTCTATCACTCCTGTACCATCTTGTTAACTTCATAAAAAGGCTATGTCAAATTTTTAAACACTTGAGAATGCTAAATATGGAGGGCACACTCGTAAGGTTTCCAGAGTAATCTGAAATGGAGGGTTATCAACAAATTTTATTTTACCAATCATGTTCTACAAAGACACATTTCCAAATACTTTGTGTGACTTATGCTTGCAGAAGTGTTGATTAAAATTGATGGAGGCTCAAAACTAACAGAAATAATTGCAGTGTACTGAAAGCCAGTATTTTGAATCAATAACTAATCCTTAAAAAGAAAAAAGAAGAGAAAAAAACGTACAGAGTATAGTTGGAAAAACAACCATGCGATCAGTGTAGATGAAATGAGTCACAGGCACATCAAACACTAAAAGAATTTCCTGTCTGTAGACTGCAGGCTTCTCTGCAAAGCAAATGAGCAAGACAGCACCAGTCTTTGCACAGGCCAAAACTGAACTTAAGTCAGGAATCTAGACCTTTATTTTCAACTGTGAAATCTCATCCTGTATACCTGTGAAACCTCATCCTGTATACCTGTGAAACTAATACACCTTATAGCATTATAATATATCAGCTTGTGTCTTTCACAGCATGATTTGCAAGATTTTTTTTATGGAAGTCTGTGTTGATAGAGAGAAAAGTTAAACACAGTTGTGTGCATGTGTGTTTAACATCAAAAAACACAAATACAACAATTAAGTGTGTGAGAGGGTGTTCTGGTTCAGTATCACCTTCTCTGCATGCACAAGAAGAAAATGTTGTGCCAAGAAGATTTACATTCTATAATCTGCGTGGAGAGGTTAATTAAAGTCAAGACAATATCCTTTCTATATCTGGAAACAGACCTGTTTGTTAACTACAGGAGCGCATATATTAAAGTGCCTGTTATTATGTGTAATGCCCATCTCAAGAAACCTAAGAAGTCTCAGATATAATGGTACTTAATTGGCAAATGACATAGATAAGAAGCAAAATATCATGGGAGAGTAGAGATTACAATGCCTGACAGGCTGGTACAGATGCCACAGCCAAAAATGTAGGGAGACTAGCATTACTCATGAGCGGTGAAGCCAGAACAAGTTATGCAGGTTTTCTCAAGTGAGTGCCCATAATGTCATTTATATCACTACATCCATCTGTCTTTCACAAATTATCCAGTCTGAACTATTCTAGACCCATTCTAAAACCTCGGGTCTTCAATTCCAGCTCCTGATAAGTAAACGGTATGTAAACATGTGGTATTTGCAAAGTGCTTTTCATTTTTAAAAAAAAAAAGTTTCCTCAGGATGCTGACTTGGTAACTCTAATTGTCCTCATCACCTCAATACCCTGAAGGCAGCTTTCTTTTTTTCCTAATAAAATGAGGCCCCAGTTCAGGTTAGTATCTTTGTTTCTCTTTTCATTTTGATCCATGATTTAATCATGATGTAATTGTCAAAACTCTGGAAGTAATTGGGTGGGAATTGACCTATTTCCTATCATTTAAAGTATGTAAAGTATTTATAGTATAATCAGTAACACAACAACAGAGAAGCATAAAAACTTACTGGGTGCTGCATTATATATGGTTGAGGCTGCATCCAAGAAGGACTCTGAACCTAGAACAAAATCAGTATTTTATTTTTCATTTTAGCCATTGTTTTCCTGAATACTCCAACTGAGATATAGTAATAATTTCTTAAATCACATTAACAAGCCCCCTCCCTTATTTATTCACTTTTTAATACAATTAGTCACTCTATGGAGCAACATTGATTTCTATGAAAAGCGTATTTATTGTGCCTGTAAATCAGAAACAGGATTTTTCCTCAGGATGCTGACTTGGTAACTCTAATTGTCCTCATCACCTCAATACCCTGAAGGCAGCTTTCTTTTTTTCCTAATAAAATGAGGCCCCAGTTCAGGTTAGTATCTTTGTTTCTCTTTTCATTTTGATCCATGATTTAATCATGATGTAATTGTCAAAACTCTGGAAGTAATTGGGTGGGAATTGACCTATTTCCTATCATTTAAAGTATGTAAAGTATTTATAGTATAATCAGTAACACAACAACAGAGAAGCATAAAAACTTACTGGGTGCTGCATTATATATGGTTGAGGCTGCATCCAAGAAGGACTCTGAACCTAGAACAAAATCAGTATTTTATTTTTCATTTTAGCCATTGTTTTCCTGAATACTCCAACTGAGATATAGTAATAATTTCTTAAATCACATTAACAAGCCCCCTCCCTTATTTTTTCACTTTTTAATACAATTAGTCACTCTATGGAGCAACATTGATTTCTATGAAAAGCGTATTTATTGTGCCTGTAAATCAGAAACAGGATTTGGAGACAATATACCACATACACCTTTCAGAACAGTATACTATGTTTTTAGTGCAGGTCTCAGAAACTTGATAAAGTACACTGAAAGGGTTCAAACAGATGCATGAGAGGTTTCTGCTGTGTTGAAAAAGGAGGCACCTTCTGTCTTAGAAATTCCTTTGGGGAAAAGTAATTGGGATCTCAGAAGGTATAGCATGCCTTCTAGCGTGTTCAGAATAAAATAAATTACTGGGTTTTCACAAGGGAAAAAGAAACCAGGAATTCTGCTGAAATCCTGTTCCAGGAACAAGGAGAAGATTCAGGAGAATTGTTCTTCTCCAACACATTGCGGTATGTTATTCCCAAAGCACAGGAAGAAGAGAAGGTTCTGATGCGCATTCCTGCTCTTGGAGGTAGCATGTTTTCTCTCCAAAAACACTGACTACCCAAATACTTAAATTGAGGTGGGATGCCTAACTTTGCATGACAAGGTAAATTAAAAAGATTAAAAGGTAAACTAACAGGTTATATGGTTATCTTAGTTAAGAAGAACTGGTTGCAACAGCTCTTTGAAAAAGTGTGCTGCAAGAAATATTAAAGGTAAGAATGGAAACGTTTCCTCTCCACCTCCTGTAAGTGTGTAGGATAAGGCAAGATTCTGACCTGCACCGCACATGCAGAACTGACTCACCACAGCTGCCAGATATTTAAAGCCCCTTAAATGCCTCTACCATCATTTCCCAGAGTCCTGTGAACAGGACAGGTAGATAGCCAGTCTTGAAAAAAAATCCAGGTGAGGTATTTTCTGCAAGATGGAAATATTTCTTCCCTCCTTTTGGTACTGACTTTCAAATCAGAGTAATATTTTTTTGCTTTTTCAATCAGAAAAAGAGCAAACAGGAGTTCAAAAATGGAAAACACTTGAACCCTCCCTTTCCTCAGGCAAAAGCTTAATGGCAAAAATACTGGTACAGCCTGACTAAAGCTTTGGCTAATCTGCTCATACTATGATAGTAACTGGCTTACTACTGTCATTTGGGTATACAGAAGTTGCAGAAACAAACACTAGCCAAAACTTTATTAAATTTGTTTACCTTTAATAAGAATAAATCTAGGGAACAGGTTATACCATGCCTCAAAGAAAAAATAAATAAATCATGCTGTTGTGATACGTCCTATTGTGTAGATGACAGAATGCTGCAGGTTTCAGTGAGAAGGGATCAGTAATGAAGATGTGACTAATACTCAAATTGTGAAACTCTTCTGGCCAAGAACCTCCTTCCTCCCCAATACAGAATACTTCCATTTAGTTTTCAGTTCCTATTACTGTGGCACTTTAAGCATAATGACGTTAATAGCTCCATCCACAATAATTTAAGCTCCACGCCACGTATACTGAAATACTGGTAATAACATTTCTGGCAACATACAGTATGATGGTCTGCCTATCTCAATAAGCCCAGAGAAATGACACTATATTCCTAAGAAGTATATTTCCATGCTAACTTCCAACTTTTACTTGGATTCTGAATATCTGAGAGTCTTATATTGATGAATAATTTATATTTTAATAAAGAATAGCAGCTAGTTCTACTGGAATATTTTTCTGGCTAAGAACTTGCTGTAATTTTTGAGGTATTGCTGTACAAAGCAGAATGATTCAACACACTGAAAAATACAGTACTAGCACTGTCTGCCAAGAGCAAACATTGTGTTGCATAAGTCATCTCAGAAATTAATATAAAATTAATCCAGCTGCCCTCTACCCCAGAGTACACTGTTTTACCTCCTACATAACGCTTTGCTCGCGCAAGAAGGCATTAGACCTCCAAAATAATATTAGACAATTCTTCCTCATTCTTCTCACCTGGAATGGGAGGGTATGTGGAAATTTCTGCAAGGGAATACTGACCAAGTGGCCCACAGTGCCTCTGTTGGCTTTCTATATGCTTCTATATAGCATTCTATATTCATTTTCACCCACAGTAAGCTAGAAAACTCAGCACATCTCTCTCACTAAAAAGCAAACAGCCACTTCTCCTTCCCCTGAAGGTAAGAGAGGTAAGAATTTTCCAAATTTGGTTTGGTTTTGGTTATTTATGACCTGAATCACTGATGTTTACTTCATCTATGTGTTAAACAGTAAAATGCCGAAATAGCTGATCATTTAGCTTACACTGGGATAATTGGCATGTCTCAAGTTATAATTACAGAGCATACATCTGAGACTGCCATACTAGTTGCATTAAATGCAAGTTGTTTGTAAACTGAAATGTACGATGCCCTAAAATTGAGCATTCCCAAGAGATTTATATCAAAGTACAAAAACTGTTCCATATCATTTCTCAGCATGTTGAACTGTTTGTCAATAACTCTTAGTGGGGACTCAAGATGACCCTATCAAAATTCCTTTTTAGGAAGCTTTGGACTGGACTCTAAGAACAAAAAACATGCATGATTAATGTTCTAATTTATTGATCAAAATAAAGTAACTTTTTGTTTAGAAACACAGTTCCAGACTATTAAATGCTTTACTCCTAATATGAAAACATTGAATTTGAATGCTAATGCAATTTGAACCCTGAACTCTTTTTCAAATTTCCTTCTCTAATGTCAAGCAAGTTTCTGTATCCTTCTTAGTACAACTACATAACATATTATTGTAGAGCTTTTTTTTTTTTGCACTGAAACAGCCTGGAGAAAAGTTCAAAAAGCATGGAGAAGTATCTTTGAAATAGAATTTAACTAAATCAAGAAGGTTTTAAATAAAGAATAGTTATTTTAAAGATATAAAAGAACTTGACCAAGAGAAAATGAAAAATCATACATGAAATGCAGAAGTAGCTACAAATACCTTAGCCAGCAGCACAAGTTAGAGACTTTGTTTTGCAAGACACCACGTATCTCATTAAATTGCTGTGCTTTCTGAAACAAACACACTTGTAGTTTTTAAGGCCTTCATCTTCATGCTGTACAGCATGAAGAGGCCACTTCATTAAAATGAAGCATTATTGGAGAATTCATAAAACCAGATGTAGCAACTGACAAATAAACATAAGCTCTGATGAACCATTTCAACTACTAAGTTCTAAATACAAACCTGGTATGTGGAAACTGGAGAAGCAATATATGGCGTAATAGATGTCTGAGTGATCATTCTGTTTGCTGTAATACTGTAGGGTGACGGATAAAATCTAGAAAATGCAGAAATATTTATTAAATACCAGTTCTATGCATCTTTCATAATGCAAACTTTTTTTTCTTAGTGTGCCATTATTTAACATACCCATTTTGTAAAGCAGCTGTGGTTGGATCATACGTAAGTGTCATTCCAGCCTTTAAAATAAATTAAAAAAAAGTGGAAAGAAAGAGTTGACAAAATTAATTTTGATTGTAAATTATTTCTCTTACTCTTTCTTTAGTTGTATTATTTTTAACTGAAAATTTGTATTGAAATAGTTTATTACTATAAGTTAGGGAAAGGCTAATTGACATAAGTAATTATATAGTGAAAAGAGTCAGAGATATTGTTTATGAATTCAAGTTTCCAAGTTCCCAGCACGAGGAACAAAATGCAGTCTATGAAATACCTGGCTAAGAGAACATGTGTGTGTTTGAGAGGCAGGGCATGAAGATGATTATGTTAGGGTGTTGCCTACAATATATTAACTATAAGAATGAACGGGGAGTGCTGTTTTTCAGAAGACACATTTGAATTTTCTTGTCTCATATAAATGAGGTGTCTAGGCTTGCTAACCACAGTAAGCCTACGAAACTATTATCTCGAACATTAAAGATTAAAAAAGCTGCGGCTAAAAAAAAAAAAAAATCAATGCTGCACTGCATTGGTATACTATTTTAATCTTATGAAAGTGATGTGCATTTCAGTGCTGCATAAATCAAAGGATTATTTACTACATGTAAATAAAGTTATGTTTCAGGTAGCTTTATAATATGAGAAATCTCAGGCATATTCCTGACCAAGCTGAAGATTTTATTGTTCGCTTTAATGAGGTAGGATTTAGTGTTTCACATTTTGCCATTTTTCCTCTTAAGAAAGATACAGTCAGGTATTTTATCTGACAGTTTGCAACTCTGTAAGAGCTGCTTGCACATTTTTAACATGCAAAGAGCCAATACAAGAAGTCTCAATGCCTATCATTTTCATAAGTATTCATTATTGTACACCCACACTAAAGCTTGAAGGGAGGACTTACAAGTCTCACCTCGCCTTCTCTGTGCCATGCTCTTCCATTCTGTATATATTTATTCTGATTCTGTCTCTTTTTCTGTCCTCCATCGGCAAACTTGCACAATAAAGGTTCTGCAGGAACTAAGAAGAAAGAAGGAATATTAGTTGAAGTACCATTCATACACAGGTGTTCAGTGCTCCAAATGAGGTATGGTTTTTAAGTTATATACTCAACATGATGGTTAAATAACACGGACTCATACTACAGCATCAGCGACTGTTCTGCACAGCACAAAGATAGCTGCCACACACAAAGAGAGCATCTGGAATGCCTTCTATCTTCGATCTTCAACTACTGCTCTAAAACCTGTTGGAAAGAAACATGGTCTGTATATCCTGAGTATGTGTCTGTTGGTCTGGGGAAGAATGAGAACTGCCACCTGAATTCTGAGCTCTGCCTCTTAGGAGGTACGTCTAAGGAGGGTGGAGAATAAATCTGGCCAAAGGCCTTTAATGTATTCCACCCACCCTTTGGAGGTTTCAGTAATGTCCCAAAACTTAAACTGCTCTGCTCATCCAGAACAGCTGGCACAGTACCTCCACTTGCTCTAACCGGCACCTTTATCTCCTGCCACCTTGCACTGAAAAAATGCCACAACTGCCCATTCGCTTTTTATCTCTGCTCTATAAAAAGCATGTAATGCAACCAGAAATTCTTCAAGATTTTTCTTTTATCTTGTTCTCTGCATACTGTCATGAAATGGTATCACCATACTTTTTTCTTTTTTTTGCATAACATAATCCTGACCATGACTTCAATTTCTAATGTCAAAATTCAAGCAATGAAAAAGAAAAGTTTGCATAGTATTCTCTCCCTCTTACTAGCTTAAACTGTAATAGTTTCTGAGTACCTACGGCCGAAGCACAGCTCTGCTACATCACACCACACCCTCCCTAATCACAGGGTGGAAGCATTGTTATGACTTGGATGTGAACACTTCTCTGCCAGTAATTCCTGACACATGAGCTGTCTAAGCTTTACCATGACACTCCTCCAGTCATTTGCTGTTTGGAAACACCTGCATGAGACAGGGCTGGATCTGAAAACGTGCAAGTTTCCAAATGTAAACACATGGGGTGGGAGGGCCAACCACAAAAAACCAACCCCAAGAAAAATTTTAGCATATCTGTATCATGCAACAAAATCTATTCGTGTAACCATGGCCAGTGCTGATGCGCTCTTCACTCTGTCTGCATTTACAAAAGATGATTGGTATTGAAAACCTCAGAGACTTATAACCTGGCAGAGAGCCTGACTTCTGAACCATTGCACAAAACTAACACTAACAGCCTAGTCACCCCTGGCTTTGGATGGCATACCTAAAACACTAGCTCTGATTCTACTGGGAAAACATCCACTCCCTACACGATACATTTTTTGACAGCCTTCTCTATAAAAGATGGATGGACTGGGAGACAGAACTGGTATGTGGTTCCCTGTCTCATCTCCAACACTGACCACACATCCGTCAGAGACTTGTACCTCTCCTACCCATGCGCTGTTACTCAGCAGTCAAATAACTTCAATATCAGTCAGACTTCAGTACTAAACATGACAACTGAAATAATTTAAAACGTATTATCTTACAGAAAATGGCAATTAAAAACCTATAATCATAAAATAAACCAGGGAAAGGTGAGGCGAATGACACTGGAAAAAGTATTGGAGACCTACGGACAGTAGAGGAAATGCACAAGGAAATTAACAGAACCCCTAAAGTAGGAAACAGAAACTGGAGAACATTGCCTTCAAAATCTTGCATTTCTGAGAGGAGTTTTGGCATTCCCAGAATTGAGTTTTGCTCTGGGGTCTTCTATCGTGAGAAAAAACTTTTGTCTCGGCCTATTTGGGGCAAAAAGGTACTATATCAATATGCTGATGGGTAATTTGATGTTACTTTATAAAAACTAGATCCCAATAACCTTGGTCATCATATCACACAGCATTTTAATCCACATACAGTTCTGTTGAAATAAGAAGCGTTAATCTCAGAAGATGCTACTCTACATGGGTAAAATTGTCAGGTTCTGGTCTGAAATTATTTCGAGACTGATTTTACACAGTGAGGAGAAAAAAAATCCATCAGAAAGGGAGAGCCGAGATCCAAATACTGAAGTTAACTGCCTTAAATGAAAAAAAAGCTCTTCCCCAAGTTGAGTATCTCTGGCTACTTATAAATTATTTCAAACCATCTAGTATTGTGGAAAGCATGTGTGACTTCCAAAATACACACTATAAATTTCTGGATGAAGTCAAAAGAAACTGGCATGAGAAAGGCTTATAAAGTCATCAGAAAATACCTAAAGGTTTCTAGCCCTGTGATTCTGTATTATAGCACTCATAGGTAGCAAATACTTTATTTAAAGCTGCATTACGCTTTCATTAAAAATGCCCATAGTGAATTGTACAAAACTTTTCTGAAAGTGTTATTTGTGCTTACATTTCCCATTGGCTCAAGATAAAGATCATTTTTTTAAAAAGTCAGAGTAAACCTGTCCAACTGTTTGAATAAAATGTTCATAAAAATCTATTTTAAGAATAAGTATGATTTTTTTTTTTGTTAGTAGATAACTGAAAACAGCTAAATTTTAAATGATGAAACATCTTCTGTGGTGCATTGGAAACATTCTCCCGACAAATTTAAAGACAAAATAAAAATGGAAGAAGAATTATCCACATGTATTAGATTTTGTATATGTAATATTCAAAACCTGCAGCGATGAAAAAAAAAAATTAAAAAGGCATTAATTTGTGATTTGCCAGAATTTGGTGCTCCATCTTACTGAACACAGACGTGGTCACGGGAACCCTTGTTTTTCTGACCTTCCAGCTTCTCTTGCTCCTCAACTGTGTCCATAAATGAAGCCAAATGCTGTGAAAGCTCCAACTCATGTTAAAAAAAAGCAGACTGTCCATTTAATATTGCCAACTGTTGTGAGAAGGCTCTATAGCATTTCCCTTCCCTGATTCCAGTTCAAGATCTGAACGCTGATAGTGGCGACTGCTGCAATTGAAAGCCTAACTGCAATTTTTGGCTGGTCTTCGATACATGTGACCCGAGTACTACTGTGTTCATTGCTTCAAGAATACAATGACTGAGGGTCATCAGAGGGAGGGTCATAAGAAGGAGATAAACCTCCATGGGAGCCAAGTATGATCTATTGATCCCCCTCCCACCAAAGAATGAACACAGCCCTCGCTCTCTTAAAAATTAAATTTGAAATTTATTTCTTCAGCTTTTCTTCGTATTTTTCACAATTTTTCACAATATTTCTTCGTATTTTTCACAAATACGTAAGATGTTATCTCTCTTGCACATACAAACTTGTATATAATAGACATATGTGTAAACAAAAAATTCCAACAAGCCCTACAGACCAGCCAAGCAATCTTTTTTGTGGTCCAGGAAGGAAGGGAGAGTCATTTTTATTGTTTAATTGTTGGGAAGTGTGCAGGCCCAGTGATGAAGAGGATCATTAATCACTCAGGAACTCGTCTGTATGTGTAAGACAGAAAGGCATAGTACAAATATTCGGAGTTGCATTTACAGCTAAAGGATAGCTGATGTAAAAGGCTACGACTTACAGTGGATTTATGCTTCTGCAGCTAAGACACCATGTTTAAAATGCCCACTCTGCTGACACTTAATGAAAAGCAACAGACACTGTGAATGGTTTGTAGACGTCTGTTGTGCTGCTGCCACAGAGGCGTTCTGTAACCGTGAGCTTTCCTGTGCTTTAACAGCAGGTCAGTGCTTTAAAATCTGGCTGTGAAAAGTGTTGACCATCTCCTCCTGCCCTGAATCATCCTCCTCTAGGGCTAATGTTTTTACGGAAGAAAGACTGAATGCAGTATTAGTCCAGAGAGTAAATACTTCCTTGTCATACACATGTTGTGCACATGTATACATTAGAATTCAGTCTTCGTTTGTTCAGTGTCTACCCAAATATGTACCAGGTGATACTATAAATGCAAGAACAAAATTGATGTTCTTACGTTGGACTTTGTGTTTACACCCTTGACTTTACCTGGCTAACGTTATCAACTTTTCAATAAACCCTGCTTTCAGATACTAAAAAAATACAACAAAATGGTTTTAAAATACTATTCTTTTAATCAGTTTTCAATTAAACTGCATCTTTTAGTGACTTTCATTGCTTATTTTCTAGTGACAAAGCATATGGGACTAATGAATTCTGGCACTAAAACCTCACTTTAATGATAGAGCAAGCCTGTACAGCTAGAAACTTTTGCCAAAAGCTGTGGGAATTAAAAAAAGAAGTTGTGCAACCCAAGATCTCAGTAGCTTTATATGTTTAAAGAGAAACTAAATATATACTCTTCACCATCCTAACCTTCACTTAAACGCAGTGCTCAGGGTTACATTTATTTAATAATTTACACAGCGTTTAATAATTTGTCACAGGAGTATATTTTGAGTGGTTTTAAGTAGTATTTTTCTTTTCTATACTGCTTAGCTTTAAGAAGCAACACTGGAAATTACAAACTATGAGAATTAGAGCACTAAAAGCTTCTAATCTTTGATCTAATGGGTAAAATCTTGGTTCCTCTGCCTTCAGTGTGACAATCAGGAGTAACATCAGCGCTGTGACCTCTTGATACCCTTTAGCAGTGGTTTTCAGAATGTGGTTCATGGATTATTTCTAAAGGATCTGTGAAAGATAACTAAGAAATGTGAGTTTATGGTCCAACGGCTTAAATTCACTATATAGAGATCTGCAGTGCTGGATACTTCGTAAAGGTAAGCAAATAGAAAAAGCTCGAAAATGACTGCCACAAGATAACTACTTCAAGGCTCCATTTTCACTCCTCTCCTGCACTAGAAACATGTCCAAAATCAGAATAATTTCAAACAGTAGTGTCTACCACAGCTGGTGGACCTCTTCCTAGTCTACAGTCAAGAGCACAGGCAGGAGCAGGGCTCTCACACCTGTCTTCAATTTCCTCCCTAAAACAGAATCTGAGTGATCAATATCTTTACCGTAAGTGGGAAGAGGAGGCTGGGTCATGGATAACCTGTGATTTTTGGGTCATCACCATAATCCACCATTCCTGAAGCTAAAATGGTATGGGCTGCTCAGCAAAAATGCTCTTTACCTTACACCCATTAAAACAAAATCACCTAAGTTATTTTTCAGTAAAAGAAGTATTAAATAATCCATAAAGCCTACACAACAGGCATAAAAAGCTTTTTAACTTCTATATTTTTCATTTTAAATGTAAGAGAGACAAATACACTCAGACTTACACATACCTTACCTATTCTTCACCACAACTGCTTTATGTAATTATTTATATAATTATTCTCATGTATCATCACGCAGCTATAAGCTGCTGTGATAGGGAGGAGATGCCTTTCATGATTTTGCACAGTAGATCATTTCTACAATTGTTACGGGTCCAACACAAGACAACAAGACAACGAACATTAAGTATCATCTTTAGGGGAGGGAGGCTAAGTATGCTGCTCTGTCCTCACTACTCATCTTCTGTGTCCTGGCTCCTTGTACTAATCTACTCTCTGTTTCCTCCAATTCACGTCATGAGGTTCACGTTTCACAGGAGAATAGTAAAGCTTTAAATATCACATTATTCACTGAAAACAATAATTCTTTAAAGAGAAAAGTAGAACTAAATGCAAAAGTTATTTCAAGATTATAGCAATCACGTAATAAACATACAGTTGAGAAGAGAATTAAATCAAAGTCCTGAGAGAAATGGACAGAAACTCATAGTCCATAAAGCAGAACAAACTATTACAATAACTTACATAACAAAAGCACAAACCCCAACTACAACAAATGGTGAAACTAATACACCACTCCTAGGAGTTTTAGGATTATACCAACTTGCAATGCATTTGAAATTGCTCTCTGAGCTAACCTTCCTTCTCCCTGACTGAAGACAAACAAGGACACACTAAATATTGAATATATTTCGTTAAGCTAATATGGAGCAGGGTAACAAAGCCTGAACAGCTTGTTACATCTGGGTTCAGCTTGCTTGGTATCATCAATGCCCAGTCACTCAACTCAATTCTACAGTCGATGCTTTTGTGACTGCCCTGTGCTACACTTGTCCCTCTCAGATTCACAGAGGTTTTTCTGTTCTGCCTTCTCATGCTCCAGAGGTTTCACCTATGCCTCCTATAACTGTGTTTAACCCATTCTTCCATTTAAACCCAAACTTAGTTAAAATAACAAAGCTGCATTATGAAAGCATGTTTTTGTTGAACAGATGTTCTTCCTCCCACACCTATTTCATTACAGGCCCATCTCTCCTACCCTCCTCATCCTGATATCAGTGTTTTTATAGCCAGCTCCCTTTGCTGATTTTAGCCAAGTTTCTAGGACACAATGTTTTAATTTAAACATAGTTCCAGTTCTACAATTTTATTTTGCATGTATTTGATCTTGCTCTTCTATAACCCCAAAGGATGCTAATCTATTTCAAAACATTTTCCCAACCTTTGTTTGTCCAAGAGCTTTCTCACTACATCCACTTTTCTCTGTGCCGGTAGTCCAAGACCACAGTTGCCCCATGACTCTGCCCCACTTTTTGGCAGACTGCAGCATATTATTATGCGTAAGCTGCGTCGTCGAATAAGACTGCATTATTGGACACGTGCTTGCTACGTGGTGAGAAACTCCAGGTAGAATTTGAACTACACAACAAAATTGAGTGTCTTTAATAAACATGGTTCTCACGACTCCCTTATGCACCTACTTATCGGTCGCATTTTTCAGCATCACGGAGGGTGCGACTCACCTCACTTAACTGACTTTCAGACATTTAGAGTTATCTATTTCTGAGCAACTCATCTAGACAATCTTTGTAACCACAAGGACAGCTGACAGCAAAGATATGTCAGTCTCTGGAGGTGTGTGCTTCTTTACCTATTTTAGACAGAGAGCCTAGACGACTACTTTGCCAAGTAAGCATTAGAAGTTAAAGTCTGTGAGGTGGATTACATCTTGAGATCACTCTTTAGTTTCCACTTCCTGACAATCACCAGTTCTGTGCAGATTTCTTGTCCCTCATTAATCATACTTTTCTGGTAAATGTTTTCCTCCACACTGCAGAAATCATTCTTACAATTCTGTGCAGCAACTTTTTATTTCTACCTGGTTGAACCTGATCATATAAGGGTGCAACTCCAGCTTCAGCAATGGTCCGCAGAGCGTGATTAGCAATGACATGCTTGATGGCTCGTTCATTGAGAACAGGATAATGCAAGTGAAAATAAAAATGAGCAAACTAAAAAGCACTAATAGGAGGTTCTGTTACAGTCTTTTTATTGGCTCTAAGTGAATAGAAACCCCTATATGTTAATTTGAACTCTTGGTTTCTCCATACTTTTTACTCTTAATTATGTCCAAGCCATAGCAGCACTATAAAACTGATCACAGAGGGTGGATCAGAGCACAGTCAGCATTCAGAGAAAATCGTTCCATGATCTCCTTGTCCCTAAAGGGATTTTCCATCTCATAAAACAGATTGCTAAATATATGAAATAGAAAAGTAAATGTTACAGCCCCTATGTATAACAAAATTTTAACTAAATAATCTCAGCAATCAATCCCAATGCAAAGGGTCTGCAAAAGCCAAGCCAGGGAAGTCAAAACCCTGCGTTACGTTAGTGGTGAAGGGAGTGGTTTCCTGTGCTCTGAAGCAGCTTTCCATCCCTACCGCAGCACAGACAGCCTCAAACTGCAGTAATCTTTCACGGATGAGGCATGTATATAGTTTTACTAAACAAGCCACATTCTTGTCTGCCTGCCGAAGGCTGCTTTCCTGCTCCTCGGTGTCGGGGTCTGGCTGCGGAGAACATTTCACCAGCAGGGTAAAGGTGGCTTCAGCAACCACATCAACAACGTAATTGGTGAAATTCCCACTTGGGATTCTCAATAAAATGGTTACCGAAAGCTGCCTGGAATGTCAGGCATGTATTCCTTCCTCCCTTATTGTCCTCTTTTCTTTTTATTTTCCTCTGCTACTTTGAATTTCCTTTCCTCATTTGTAAGTGTTTATAGAATATACATTTTGTCTCTTAGAAACAGTGCTGACAAAGCAGGCAAACTGATGAGGAACTCGGTGTAACAACAAAATTGCGCTATGTAGCTTCTCTGCATTTTGCCTTGCACAATACTTCTAGAAGTAGCATTCTTTGTTGACCTCCTTCCATCCTCCTGAAGAACCTCAAAGCCTACTTTGACTTGAGAGTCACAGCTCCCCAATGAATGAAAGTGCCTGGTGTTAAGGCACTGCTGCAGAATCTATTTTTTTCTAATCAAATCTTTTTTTTGAAAATTACTTCAAAAAAATCACCAACAGATGGCAAAAGTAGTCCATTTTTTGCCTCTCAAAAAAAATTGTCCACGGACAATCAGCCAAATTCTGTTCTGATACACATACAACACATATTTGTCTCCTGACTTCAACTGGGATTATGTGGGATGTAAATTTGCGCATAGCTGGCTTAAGGCATCTTAGCTGCTTGTCTATCTGCTAGGAGAGAACACTACTAGATTCCTAGAAAAGGTTTACAGTAGAAAAGTGATATACTGTGTTCCAAGTGAGCAAGTATTACAGTCATCCAACAAGACAGTTTAATTTTAATAAGCCTGCCTCTGAATGAGAAGCCAGATACAACAATCACCATAACAGGCTTCCACTATGTAAGCAGTAACCCATTCATACATCTCGTTAGAAATACATGCAACATACCAGAAACTCCTGCTGGTGTCTTGATGAATTTTCCATTAAAATGAGCAATCACTGCTTCACATTTTTCTGTTGACTCCATTCTAAGAAAATAAAGAATAATTTACATAAATTAAACACTCATCCAGATTCCCATGTCTGTGATTTTTTTAAAGCATATTTCTTGCTTTATCTCGCTTCACTTTTGAGGCTTGCTTTCCCACATGTGAGCAATACAGAGGATGTTTTGTAAGAACACACAACTTCAGAAAGGTAAACTAAACTCAGTTAACATTTTATGCACTCTGAGGCCAAAGTCAGTGCCAAACTGCAAATACAATACCCTTATTTACTTAGAAATTAGGCAGAACATAACTTGGACAGCTATAGTACAAAGTACCTATGCTGTCTTGAAGGAAGCAGAAGGACTGATCCACAATCATTCACAACTGAATCCTTAGTGTCCATTATACATACAACAAATGTTAATGCCACTTTTGATAGAGGATTCTGAAGTGTCTGTACAGTTTAAGAGTAATAAACTCAAATATAAACATGCCTGACCGCATGACCCAAACTGCCTTTGCAGCTTTTAGCTTACACATATCATCCCAACTAAATGATGTACCTGTCTCTTATTTAATTGTCTCCAAGTTACCTTCAAAACAGGAACCAATAACAGAATAGCTGTGACGGCTACTGAGAATTTAACCAGCATCCTGAACAGGTTTGTGCACTTATGTTGTCAAAACTAGACTTAATAGACTGGGTGGACTACTGGTGAGCTAGTGCTAGTCTGGGAGTGGCTCTGTAGGTTGCAGCTACATCATCACATTGCAGTGTAGACATGTCGGTCCTGCCTGCCAGCTTGGACTAAGTTGCAATGGATGACCGAGACATGCAAGTCTATTTTAGAAGAAGAATATATTTTGCAGCTGTCTGCAAGATGATATTTGGATAATGCGGAACAGAGGTTTTCTTTTTATTTGTTCATTAAGTTCTGTAATTCAGATCCACAAATTAGGCCAATGGCCTCAGCAGCAAAGAAGCAGTACTAAAAATTACTAAGTCTTGGCACCTTTTTAATTCCAATAGCCTTTCTGCACAGGCCAATTAAATATAGTCATAGACAACAAGCAAAATCATCAAAATGCCAGACTGAACAAAAAGGTTTCTTCATGGTTTCAAAAATACCTTCTAGAGAATTTTCAGAAGTTCTGGATTGTTGGATCTGCATCAAAGAAATCTAATTTTTTTTTTGTCTCACATGAAACAAACAATATAATTTAGTTTCAGACTCAAGTCTGGACTTGATAAAATATATTACCCCTTATTAAACTAATAAAATGCTCCCAAAGGCAAGGAATTAAAATCTTTATTTAATGTCTACCTGTTTCTTGGACAATTTTAACTTTTTCTGGATTGTTGGATCTGCATCAAAGAAATCTAATTTTTTTTTTGTCTCACATGAAACAAACAATATAATTTAGTTTCAGACTCAAGTCTGGACTTGATAAAATATATTACCCCTTATTAAACTAATAAAATGCTCCCAAAGGCAAGGAATTAAAATCTTTATTTAATGTCTACCTGTTTCTTGGACAATTTTAACTTTAACTAATATATCCAAAAATGTTCCAATACCTACCTTGCAGAAGGGGAGAAATTCTGATTAGATATGACCAACAGCTTATTCTTGGACAATTTTAACTTTAACTAATATTTATCCAAAAATGTTCCAATACCTACCTTGCAGAAGGGGAGAAATTCTGATTAGATATGACAGCAACAGCTTATTCTATAAATTATGTATAATACATGTATGTGAATAAAAGTATGTATATAAAAATAATTTCACATCTATGCATATATAAAAAACATATAATGTATAATACAGAACCTATTGAGAAAATACTTACTTTAAAACTAATCTCTCAATGTCTTTAATACAAGCAAGGTTTTGGATACACACAAGTCTTTTTGACTTTTACATACAATTCTAAAATTCTTCCAGCTATATTAGAATAAAAGCATTCCTAAAATACCACTGAGTCAAGGTAGAGTTGGTTAGCAAGTTTAGGGACAAAAGACTGGATAAATTCGTAATGCCTACTGAATTTTAGCTTGGGTGTTACTGGATTCTGCCCTTCATAGTACCAAAAAGTGAAAGCTGCATTTAAGCAAGTACCAGTATTTTTCAAAATTAGTAAATAAAACTTTTGGATATATATTGCTTTGTACGTCATCCAAAAACATACATATGTTCTGTGTATACTTGTATGAAGTTCCCACTCAAATACTTATGCATATGCTTATATGAAAAAAATACAAGTGTATGAATGAAATAAAAATGACCAATTAATTTTACACCAAAAATATTACAAATACTTATTGATTCATTTAAAGGGGACCAGAAGAAATTTTGGTAGAAACCAAACTTGCTGGTTTTGCACTCTTAAATAAAGGAATATCATTCCATTTTTTCTGATTTTGTTCCTTTGCGTTATCTTCTTGCAACTGGACAGTCTGCCAAGCAAATAAACTGGGGAGGGTGCATGGGATTTAAAAAAAAAAAAAACAAACAAAAAACAACCCACAGCGCTGTGAACTATCCATAGTCAACTCACAGGGAAACCAATCCCTAAAAATTCTGGCTTCATCAGGACACATAATTTGTTCAGTTCTTTTCTGTGCACTAATTTGAGATTCTGCTATTTGTTCAAATGCAGAGCTATTGTAATACTGGCTGAACATCTGAATTTGACTGCTGACAGAGATTTTACAACATATTTTGAGAATCCAAATTCTTTGCTCAAAGCATGCCCCCTATTTTTGATGATAGAAATCTCCAATCTAAAGCCTCCAAATTTTGATTGCCATATTAGGTTTAAAGAAGGATTTAATAGATAGAAAAAAGGCACAGAAAAAGCTTCAATGAAGAGACCCCAGAACAACCAACTGAATTAACTAGAGAAAAAGTAGACTCACATGGACAGAATATTTGGGAGGTTTCTACTAACTTATGGAAAATATTTGTTCTTGTTGATTTGGGAGAGATATTTGACCGAGTTGTCAAATATTTTAAGGTGCGATTTGCTGTAAGTGAATACAAATATTTTCTTTCCCAGATGACAACATGTTAATGAGCCAGAAAATTCAAAGGGCTGACATTCAAAGGGCAATGATGAGTCTAAGGAACTCATCAGTCAGAGGAACTAATGAAGAAAAAGGAGGAAAAAAAAAAAGGGGGGTGCGGGGGGGTGGGGTTCTTCCTTATGGTCTCCTGTCTCGAATTCAAACCTCAAAAGCCAGAAATGTCACAGAACTTTCTGTGAAGCACTGCATAACTCTTGCTTACTGGTTCAGGGATAGAGGAGAAAGGAGAAGTACAGAAAAGAGGAGGAAGCGGTGGAGAGTGAGCTCTTATTCTAGAGAGTTGTCCAGTAAGAGCAATAGATTCAGATTTAGCCATCTAAGCGAGATGAGACACAGCCATATTTGCTTTACCAAAGGAAGAATTAACAAAACCTTGCTGGTATCTCTATCTAGATCTCCCTTTTCTTTAAAACCTTGATCATTTTCAATAATTTCTGCCTTTTCCTCCTATTCCTGCCTTTTTAATTAAAAAAAGGAAAAAAGCTGCCAGCATAGCTCACGCCACTGAAGTACCTTGCAAAGCCAACACCACGGCTTGTCCCACTTGAGTCCCGCAGTATCCTCGTAGAGATAACCTGCCCAAACGGTTTAAGCATGTTCTCAAGCTCCTGCTCATCCATTGAAAGCGGCAAATTGGAAATGTATAAGTTAGTCGGATCTTGTTCTTGTTGCTGAAAGAGAATTAAAAACAATTGTTATTGTTGTTGCCACCAGAAAGACATTTTGCATATAAAATAACAGCAATTACATATAACTACTAGTACAGATTTTTACTTCTCAGGCCCCTTTCTAAAGGCTGCTCCTCCCTAGTATTAGTGACCTCCATCTTCTGTCACTGTATACAGCATTCCTGAGAAAAGCTCTCCTCCTCCTATTACTGCTGACAACAACATTTTTACGTGGAGATAAAGGTGAATAATTGAGCAGCTTATAGTTCATATTACAACTTCATGTTTCAGATTTTTCTGAAAGAAAAAAAAGCAAAAACAAGATAAAGAAAAGAAATTAGCAGACTAGGAAATATAAGACTGGTGGAAAGAACTAAAAAAAGCCAGAGGTAAATTAAAAAGAGAAAAGATTGGAATGACAATAATACAGGGAAAAAAGGAGACAATGCATTTAAGAGTATGTACATTGCCAAAACATTACCACAAGAATAGGCTGATACACACAGAAGTGAGTGGGACGCCATCTCCTTCTCCCACACATGAAAGTTTTTGAGTTTTCATCAAACTTTTACATTATGCATTCAGACAATACAAAAGTCTTCCAAAAACTTTCTCTAGAAACAGACAAAATGACAGATGAGGGCAGCCAGAAGATGAGCGAATAGGGAGGAGACAAATGTTGTCACATCTTTGCCATTCCCCTAACCTTAGGCTATCTACTTTGTGTGATCTATGCATGTACCACAAAATTCCATCTCAATCAAAGTAACATTTTTGTTGAAATTTATCATTTCCAGTGCTCGTCTACAGATTCTCCAGCTGTCGTTAGGGAGCATCTCTTGCATCGCTCTCATACTGCTAATCGCTGGCCATGCTCCGTGACGAAATGCATTCTTAATCTACACAGATCTATATGACTTGGCCCTTACAGTTGTGCAAAACCTCGATGCCATCATTGTGGTTCCCTGTACAGATCTAAGTCTCTGCAGGATGCATTATATTCAGTAGAACTTTTTTGGCATTAGGAATGATATGATTTGAAACAAATACAATTTTGGTGGCATAGTCCTCAGTGTATTTTCATTCTGTACAAGAGGGCTAACTGACTTATAGGGAAGTTTGAATCAAACCAGAAAACAAAAAACAAAACCACAACACTTTCTTACTGGAATTAAAGCATTTATTAAAGTGATTGTACCTGTATAGGTGGTGATACCTTCTTATGCGGATTAGACATCAATTTGTCCTTAAGCTGCCCTTATGTTAATAACATCTCAGTATCTTTGGTAGCATATTGCATAATTTAATAATTTGCTATCCTGGATATCACCTCTCAGTTGGGGTTGGTTTTCCCTAGGACAAAAAAAGAAAAGGAGTGGGGGCTGGGGCGGGGGGGGGAGGTTGTGCCTTTTAGGCACAGAAATGAATTCTCATGTTCCAAAAACTAATGAAAGTTAAAAATGGAGAAGAATTCTATGCTTATGGACCTCCACTATTTGTGTTTTCGCCCTGAGTCTCACACTCATTTAGAAAGGGCTTTCAAGTTTTCTGTAAAGGTTTTTGAGAAACTTCAGCATTGAAGGACCTATAAAAGGGAAATATGTTCCCATTACATCCTCCTGATCTGCACGCTATGCCACTGATATGACTGTAATTCCTAATCACGCTGAAATCCCACATACCTTAAAAACACAAACTTTTCCAAGTGCCCAAGTGTTATCCTAGTCAGTCCCTTCACAGTCCATTACAAACGGCATTGGACTACCATGTATGTTTTTCCTTGTGTTACCTAGTGGGAATATCCCCCCCCCCCAAATAACACTGAATCTATGCAGTACACACGGAAGTTTGTGATTTAAATTACCTTAGAATATCTGACCTCTCTTTCATATTAGAAAAATCAGCAGAAAGAAGACAAGAAAATGGATTCACTGGGAGGCCAGAGCTGACATTAATATTCACTGCTGGGCAGTGTTCAACCATGAGGGAAAACCTATGTTACAGTAGTTGTATCTTTGACACACAGTTCAAATTTCCTCAGGTAGGAATGTGAGATGAAGACAGCTTTCACGTTTTTAGAATTAGTTTGTTAACTTAGATTGTATTAACCAATTTTGTTTTGCACCTTGAGATATGAAGGCTTACTTCCTTCTTTAATGAACGCTATTAGCAAAAGCTTTACAGGAGGTGTTAGCCATGGGCATTACAAAACCACATTTGTAGCTATAGCATAATTTTCTGAAACTCCGAATAGTATTTGAAGGAAAAATCTTGGATTTTTTACTTCTTATTATAAGCTGTAAAATGTATTGCACACAAATACCCTAAAACTTCCCTAAATAACCTAAAACAGTATGCAAGCTGGAAAATCAGACCCTTTGCATATTTTCATCTAGTTTGCTAATGTTTTCATTCTGTAGTAACAGAAAGTCTGAATTATATTATAAAAATGTTCTCATTAAAAAGCCTAACAACATTTGGAAAGATAAAAACAGGCCCCATTTTGTTCACACTAATAAAAATGTAATTTACATGCAAAAAAGAAATGCTTACGTTCAGAAACACCTAATAGAGAATGAAATTCAGTCAACTGCAGAATGTCAGAGCAAGCTCTTTTATTTGGGTAACTGGGGAGATCACATTCCCCTTCTCTTGGGCTCCTATTCCAGCCTAGGGGGTTACCACACTTTTGCATTATACAGGCAGTGTATTCAGGATGAGAGATTGTGAGCTTTCCTTGCCAAAAGGGACACAAAGACCTACTGCGATTCACTGTAACACATGAAGATATTCCTCCATACACACTGGGAAGCTCGATTCCTGTACCTATCCACCTAGCAGACAAAACTTCATGCCACAAAATCATGTAACAACATTGTTAGAGAAGGGAATGCTCAACTTCGAAAAAGAGTATTAGCGACTTCACCACTAACCCACATTGTAAATCCCTTAGGAACGGAGGAAAAAAGAAGTGCATCTGAGGAAACCATTCTAAGGAAATGGCTTTCTCTGAGCAGAAAGCATTTTGTGATGGAAAAATTTGACTTGCAGCCCATGAAACAATCTGTATTTTGTATTAGTAACTACATTGGGTTTTGGTCAGGTGAGTGCTGAATGGGTGACTGGAAAGGACTTACTTCTGCTTTCCTGACCCTTTCTCTATGTCAGTGTCACGGTTTAACCTCAGTTGGCAACTGAGCACCACACAGCCACTCGCACACACACACCCCC